CATTGTTTTATTTAATTTTTTATTGTTTTATTTATGTATATTTTTTAGCTTGCTACAGAGATTGTGTTCTCACCAAAGAGAGAAAGAAAGTGAGAAAGTAAGCCGACAGGTCTAGGACTTGAACTGTGGCTGGCCATGTGGGAGTCCAGTGTCTTGACCATCACACCACCTGCTGGCCCCAGCAAATATTTTAAATTATACTAACCATTAACAAGCTAGATTTTGAGGAGAAATCATGGCTTATAGCAATCTGTTACTGTCCTGCTTCTATAATAGGAACTGGAGCAAAATCTCCTGAGACTTCTTTCATAGCTTCAAAGAGACTTACACAAATTTAAAGCAAGAATGGAACTGGCTATTAACCTAGTGGTTAAGGGAGCCAGATGCTACCTGGCTGACCGAGCAGTTCGCATCCCAGATCCAGAGGCTTGAAAAACACACCAGGCATGTGTGTGCATGCGCACTTGCACCTATGTCCAAGATCCCAGCAGAACAGAGAAGGGATTGCAGCATGACCATGCCCCATTGGGAGTGCCTTCTCTCTCTTCCTCTCTCTCTGTCTCTTTGTGGCTAACACACATGCCCTCTGGCAAATTAAAAAAAAAAAAAAAAAAGGCAAGATTATATCAATCCCTTGCACTACATTGGTGATCTCATAGATACAAAGAATGAGTATGAATTTGAAGTATTTGCCCCTGCTCTGAATCTTTAACGGGCGTATGGTTAAAGTTTGGAATTAATTTTACAAAAACTATCAGGCCTACCACAGCAGGCTCTATGGCTGATAAAATCCCGACTTTGTAGTGGTATAACAGAGTATTTAGCTAAATAATGTAAGCGTTAGTGATTGCGGAAGGATTAAAATCCATTAGACATAATGATCCAGTGATAAATGGCTTAACAGTTCTTTTTCAGAGCTAATCTCTTCGACTTTCCTCATGTGCATGATAAATATGATCACATGTGAAGTCCTTCAAGGAAGACAGGTGAAATGAAAAGGGAAGTCAGGCAAAAATTAAGCTGTGCTATGGTTGTAGAGGGAGATGAGCCTTTCTGTTTCATGAAGCTAGCACTCTGGTGATTATGTTACTTCATAATTTTCTAGAAAGCTGCTCTTTTCTTTCTTTTTAAAAATAGTATTTGTTGTTTCCGTCTGGTTATAAAAGTAATATATGAGTACTTTGGAAAATACAGAGAAGCATAAAGAGTGAAAAAAAAAATTTCATAACCAGTGATAGACACTGTTAACATTTTTGCTTATATCCATCCAGCCAGACTTTTTCCTTTGAGAAAGGAAAATATGTTTCTCTTTTACAAAATTGGGATAATGCTGCACTTACTGTTTCATAACTTGCTTTCCCCCCTCAACAATTTATTGTGCCTATTTTCTCATGCTATTAAGTTTTCCGGTAGAACATGGTTTTTCAGGGCTGGCTTAGTGTTTTATTAGAGCAAAGAACTGTACTCGATTTAACGTCTCCTCATGTGGGCAAGCTGTTTGATACCATCATGCTGCGACAAGGCATCTTTCTAGGTAAATATTTGTGTACATCTGAATAGTTCCTTAGGATAAATTTTTACAAGAGTAATTGCTGGGTCAAAGGAATTTTATTTTTTAGACAGGATCTCACTCGATTGCCTGGGCTAACCTCCAGTGCTCGACCCTCCTGCCTGGGATTGCAGGCACGTACCACCATGCCCGGCCTTCAGGTTGGACAGGAAATCAAACCTGGGCCGCTCATGTGGCCCCAGCCTGCAGAGCGCAGCATCGTAGTATCATATGCCACCGCAGTTGGGCCCAAAGGAATTTTTTTCTTTTTTTTTTTTTGGAAGGTCTTGGTACTTGATGCTGATTTCTCCAGAGAAGGATTAGTTAACGTCCTTTTTGGGGCTGGCCTTAGCACAGTAGTGAAGCTCTCTGCTTATGGAGCTGGAACCTGCATGGTTACCAATGGTTCAAATCCTGGCCTGGCAGCTTGAAAAGCAAACCAGACATGTCTGCATAATTGTTCAAAATCCTGGCGGAATGGAGAAATGGAGGAAAGAGGATTGTAGCATGACTATGCCCCATTGGAGGGTATTTTCTTGCTCGCTCGCTCACTCTTTGTTCCTCTTTCTAGCAAGAACATGCACCCTCTGGTGACTAAATGTCCCTGGGCCGGCAGGTAGTGTAGAGGTTAAGGCAGCTGGATCCCACGTGGCTAACTCTGTGGTTCAAGTCCTGGACCCAGCAACTTAAAAATCACACCAGGTATATATGCATGTGTGCCCAAAGTCCCAAGAGGAGAATGGTGGAGAAGGGATTGCCAGATGGGGGGTGATTTCTCTCTCTCTGCCTGGCAAGCACATGCACCCTATAGCAAAAAAGAATAAAAAGCCCCTCTGGCAGAGTATAAGAATATTCATTTATCCTAGCCAATACTGGTAATTATAGCTTTGTAGTTGTTATCTCTCTTTATTTTTAATAGGGATTGTGTTTACATAGTTAAATTTTAGAAGTTGCAAGAGTATACAATGTGGTCTACCTCACCTAGCCACTTTGTTTCCTGTCCCCATGAGCCCACCGCTGTTAAATGTATCTTTCCAATGAATCTCAGGCATGTATAAATAGTCTTCTGCTCTTGTGTACACACACACTTTTTACATGAATGATAACATTCTATGGATACTGCTCAGCACCAGGCTTCATTCACTTCATGATAATTTGAAGAGGATTTCACATCAATACATAGTTTCCATTATCCTTCCCCTTCCTCAACTCAGCATGCTGTCAGTTTATCTTTGTCAATCTGAAAGATTAAAATGGGGGAATCAGCAGTTAGCGTAATGGCTATGTCGCTGGACTCCCACGTAGTCGACCACAGTTCGCATCCCCGACCTGGTGGCTTAAAACTCACGCCGGGCGCGTGTGCGTGCGTGCCCAAGATCCTGAGAGGAGAACGGAGGAGAAGGGATTGCAGCGTGACCATCCCCCCTGAGGGGGTGATTTCTCGCTTTCTGTCTCTATGTCTCTCTCTCTCTGTCTGTCTGGCGAGCGCACGCGCCCTATAGAAAAAACCACCCCAAAAAAAAAAAAAGGTATTTCAGTACAGTTTTAATTTGTATTTTGTTGACAATGAATCAAGTTGAACTTTCTTTTTTTTTCAGCTTTGCTGTAGGGTGGATGCTTTCTGGGGAAAAACATCCCTCCCCTGCGCCAGGGGGAATGGCCATGCCACAGTCTCTTCTCCTCCATTCTCCTTTCGGGATTTTGGGCATGCACACACCTGCACCCAGAGTGATTTTCAAGCCACTGAGTCCAGGTTTCTAACTGCAAAGTCGTCCATGTGGGACCCAGCCGCCTTAATCTCTGTGCCACCTGCTGGCCCCAAAATTGAGCATTTTTTCATGTTTTTAAGAGCCATTTTTATTTCCCTTAAGAACTATCCACATCATTTTCTTATTTTCCTATCAAATTGTTGGTGTCATCTTATTGACCTGTAGGAAATCTTACAAAAGTAAAAAAATTAAATCTTTGCTATAATATGAGTTACAAATATATTTTCCAGTTCAGTGTTTGCCTTCGGTATTACTTTTACTGGGTTTAGCTGTATATATATATATATATATATATATATATATATATATACAGGGGGCACATGTGCCCATCAGCAAAAAAGAAATAGAAATCATCCTCCTTAACAGGGTATGGTCACACCTCAATCCTTTTCCTCCACTTCTCCATCCTATCAGAGTTATGGGCATGCACACATACGTACCTGGTGTGTTTTCCAAGCTACCGGGCTAGTATTTGAACCCTGGTCAGCCATTTGGGACCGGCTCCCAGTGCACAGCCCTTACCCACTATGCTGTGGGCCCAGCCAAAGAGAATTTTTTTAATGTAGTAAAATTTATATTTTATTTTTAAGAATTAAATAATTCTTTATTTTATTTGTTATTGTTTTTTAATTTTGCCAGAAAGAAAGGGAAGTGAGAAATCAAACTACCAGGTCCGGAACTTGAATCACACCACCTGCCGGCTCCAATGTAAACAAGTTTATTAACCTTTTATGACTTAATGGGTTTTGGGTCATAGAAAGGGATTCCTTACTCCAACAATGCTTGAGTCTGTTACAATGGTTTATTTTAGTACTCTTATGGTTTCATATTTTATGTTAAGAATTTGATCCATTTGTAATTTATCCAATGAGAAGCTTACTGTTACTTTTCCTCAAATTGCGCTATTGTCTCAATTTGAGAGGTTTTTACTATAGGGTGTGTGCGCTCGCCAGACAGAGAGAGACAGAGACAGAAAGCGAGAAATCACCCCCCAGGGGGGATGGTCATGCCGCAATCCCTTCTCCTCCATTCTCCTCTCGGGATCTTGGGCATGGATGCACACGCGCCCAGCGTGAGTTTTAAGCCACCGGGTCCGGGACACGAACCGCGGTCGACTACGTGGGAGTCCAGCGACATAGCCATTACACTAACTGCTGGTCCCTGTCTCATATACTTTTACTAAATAATCCCTATCTTCTGATTTGACTTACCACCTTTATGAATATTATTAATTCTTACCAATTTGATGATAGACAAGAAATCCCTCTTTTGTTTTCATTTTCATGTATTTGGCTATCCATCTGTGAATGAATTAGGCATTTTTCATGCATCGATTGACTATTCGTGTTTCTTCTTCTGTGAATTTCTGATGGTGCCACTCACCCTTTGTTACATGCAGGATTATGCTTGCAGATATTTTCCTCGGTTTTTCATTTACTTTGAGCATTGTTTGTGGTTAAAGCTGTCTCTGATGTTGCTGTTTTCAAAGTGCTCTGAATATTTCTCTCCTCACTTGATCTTCACAGCTTTGCTCTAGGTAAGTTAAAGATGCAGCTGAAGCTCACAGAGGTTCAGTAACTTCCCCAATTTCACAGTCTCTGGTATGCGAGCCTCCCCTCTCTGAAACAATACTTCAGAGCTGCTCGGTTCCCTTTGCGCTCAGCCAGTTCATTGTTTTGCAGGGGATATCTCACTCAAGGCCTGCCACGGAGATTTCACTGTGTTATGCTAACCGCTCTGCAGCCCTCTTCCACCTGGGTCAGTATGAGGTGAGTGTCAGGTGGGCCCAGTGACTGTGGAGGATCTGTAGGGGCTTCCCTGGAGGGCGAGGCCTTCAGTCTTTGCCTCCTCCTGTAACAGAGATCAGGCTATGCTGCAGCTGCTGCACATCCGCCCAGACTTGCCCTTTCTCTTGATGTGTTTCACGAATCACCGGTGGCCACACAGGGCCTGTGAGTCAACAGAGGAGGTAGGGTATATTCCACATGGGGCATGGACTGTCAAGTAGTATGTTGCTCATAATATTTCAGGTTCCAACTGTTTGCAAATATTTACCTGTTTATTTAATCTGTTTTTTTAGGTTTTGCCATAGAGTGCATACATTCACAGGAGAGAAACAGAGAGAGGGAAAGTGAGAAATCACTTCCGAGAGAGGATGGCCCACAAGTCCCTTCTCCTCCATTCTTCACTCAGGATCTTGGGCATGCACGTGCATGCTCCTGGCATGAATTTCAAGCTGCTGGGCCCATGACTTGAACTGTGGTCAGTCACGTGGGAGTCCAGCACCTTAACCATGACTGTAGTTATCCCCTAAGAGTGACAACAACAATAACAAAGTGTTCAGAATTGTGTCAGTGGAGTTCTTCTGCTTGTATGTTTTAAATTCTTTTTTTTTTTTTTGAGGGGTTTTTGTTGTAGGGAATGTGCATTCACCAGAAAGACAGAGAGAAAGAAAGCGAGAAATCACCCCCCCAGGGGGGATGGCCACGCCGCAATCCCTTCTCCTCCATTCTCCTCTCGGGATCTTGGGCACGCACGCACATGCGTCTGGCGTGAATTTAAGCCACTGGGTCTGGGACGCGAACCACAGTCGACTACGTGGGAGTCCAGCGACATAGCCATTACGCTATCTGCTGGTTCCATGTTTTAAAATTCTTGATAGAGAGTGTGTGCATGTGCATGCACAAGAGAAAGAAAGATAGAAAGAGACAAAAAAAAAAAACAATCTTAACCGGGTTGACCCCCTTTCCCCAGTCCTCCAGCTCATCTGGATCCTGTGTGCCCGTGTACTTGCCACTGGCATGTTTGCGGGCCAGCCCAGGGATCTAAAGCCTGGTCAGCCATGCAAGTCTAGCACTGCAGTCCAGCACACTACAGACATTGGGCTACACTGGGCATCGGTGGAGTTCTTTTTGCTTTTTGGGGATTTTTTAAGAGAGATTTTTGCAGTAGGACATGTGTGCTTGCCAGAGAGACAAAAAGAAAGAACTCACCCCCCCTAGGGAGGTTGGCCACACTGCAATTCCTTCTCCTCCATTTGCCTCTTTAGATTTTGGACACACACACATACACGCCTGGTTTGAGTTTTAAGTCACGGTCTGCCGTCTACTACATGGGAGTCCAGCAATGTAACCATTATGCTATCTGGTCCCTCGTTTTTGTTTTTAATTGCCAGAGGGTACATACATTCACCAGAGAGAGAGAGGGAGGGAGAAATGACCTCTCAAGGAGGCATGGCTACACCACAGTCCCATCTCCTCCGTCTCTACCCCATCAGGATTTGGGCCACACACGTACATGTACTGGCGTGTCTCTCAGTGGAGCTGGGATGTGAACCGTAGTCACCATGTAGAATCAGCTCTTCCAACCACTAGGTCATAGAGCAGGCCCTCAGCGGAGATCTGAGACAGGATGTGACCCAAATTACACTTACGTTTTAAGACAATATCTCTGAGGCATCTGAAATTTATAATAGGTCTAAGAACAAGCAAGTACATTCACACTGTTATAACCATCTCTAAAAGCTTTTTTTTTTTTTTTTTTTTTTTTTTTTTGCTATAGGACACATGAACTCACCAGAAGGGAAGGAAAGTCAGAAATCACCCCCCAGGGTGAATGGCAATCCTTTCTCCTCTGTTCTCCTCCTAGGATTTTCGGTGCACACGTGCGCACGCGCACACACACACACACACACACACACACACACAAATGCAAATATGGCGTGTTTTTCAAGCCACCAGGTCTGGGACTCAAACCATGCAGTTGACCATGTGAGATCCAACCACCCTAACCTCCACACCACTGGCTAGCCCCAGAACAAACTTAAAGATGCCATTTTGGTATATTTATTTCAGAATTCCATAGAAATTCAAATTATACCCCAGAGTTAAAGACTATTGGGATAGTGAGTAGGTTCGCACCTACTGCCCTTTGGACTAGAAGAGAAGAATGAGAGTCTAACTGTAGGCCCTAGCAGGAAGGATAGGCTATTGAGAATGAGTAGAAGAACCTGTAACACATCTCGCCCTGGCTCAGCAGGTGGTGTGGTGATTAAGATTCTAGATTCCTACCAGTTCTAGTCCTGGACCTGGTGGCTTGCTTTCTCACTCTCTCATCAAATTGAAGAAGGAGAATAAGAAATAAGATTAAATTAGTAATTCTTTTTTTTTTAAAGAATAATTTCTTTAATCTTATTTATTCAGTCAGTCATTTTCATTTGACCAGAGAAAGACACACAGAGAAAAGGAAAGTAAGAAAGCAAGACACCAGTACAAAGACTCAATCCATGGTTGGCCATGTGGGAGTGTCCAGCGCCTTAACCACCACACCACCTGCTGACCCTAAATTAGTCATTCTTTAAAAAAATAAAAAATAAAAAGTCACCCTTTATAGCTTCCCAGTACTGTTTATTCCTATATTCCTTCTCGTGGCAGTGGTTACGATTTGTGGCGCACATGCCGTGTTCAAGCACTTCTTTCAGCACTTGGAATATATTTCTTTATTTCACCCTCAAAATAACCCTGTAAGATGTGGTATTCCTGTTCTTCAGATGAGGAAACTAAGACATTGGCACACATTATGTAGCCAGTAAGAAGTAGAGTCAATATTCAATATTTGGGGTTTTGTTTGTTTTTTGGAGAAGTTTTTGCTATAGGGCACGTGTGCTCACCAGAAAGACAGAGAGAGACAGAGAGAAAGCAAGAAATCACCCCTCGGGGGGATGGCCACACTGCAATCCCTTCTCCTCCATTCTCCTCTTGGGATCTTGGGCACGCACACACACGCGCCCAGCGTGAGTTTAAGCCACCGGGTCCAGGACTCGAACCACAGTCGATTACATGGGAGTCCAGCAACATAGCCATTATGCCAATTGCTGGTCCCTGTTTTTATTTTTTATTTTTTAAGAGATTTTTGCTATAGGGCATGTGCACTTGCCAGAGAGACAGAAAGCGAGAAATTACCCCCCTAAGGGGCATGACAATGCCTCAGAATTTTGGGCACACACACACACATGCACCTGGTGTGAGTTTTTTTAAGTCACTGGGTCCAGGACTCAAACCGTGGTCGACTACATGAGAATTCAGCAACATAACCATTATGCCATCTGCTGGTCCCCAGAGTCAGTATTTGAATACAGGTGTGCTTTGCTTCAAAGTGTGTCCTCTTGATCATCATACTGCAAGACTTTGGCAGACTTTTTTTATTTAAAAATAGAAATATTGGAACCAACTGGTAGTGTGGTGGTTAAGGTGGCTGGATCACACATGGCCAACTGCATGGTTAGAGTACCAGGTCTGGCAGCTTGAAAAACATGTTAGGTGCATGCATGTGTTCCCAAAATCCCACAAGGAGAATTAGAGGCCATCTCCCGTGGAGGATACTTTCCCACTTTCCCTCTCTCTGTCTCTGGGTCTCTCTGTGATGAACACATGCTCACTAGCAAATTTCCAAGACATTAGAAATATTTAATAAAAGCAATTAAGCGTAGTATCTTCCACAGGTATTACTAATCACTCAATTACAAGATCACACATAGAATATGATAAAAAGGTGTAAGTGCAGGGTCAGCAGGTGGCTTGGTGGTTAGGGTAGCTGGATCCCTCGTGGCCGACTACAGAGTTCAAGTCCTGGATCTGGTGGCTTGATAAAACACACCAAGTGCATGTGCCTGCATACCCAAAATCCCAAGGGGAGAATGGAGAAGAGACTGCAGCATGGCCATCCTCCCTGGGGGTGAGGGGGTTGCTTTCTTACTTTTCCCCTCTCCGTCTCCAGCGAGCACACGTACCCTGTTGCAAAAATAAATAAATATTTTTCTGAAAGGAAATGAGTGCCTGTGCCCGGCCATGGTGGCACAGCAGAAAGGGGCAACTGTGCAGTGACTGAGGCTGCCAGAGAGGTGCGGTTCAGTTCCCAGCACAACCTCAACAGGCCAGGCAGACTGTGCGACTGTGCCCCGACTAGCTGGAGGCTGGGGCAGGAGGGTTGTGACACGGTGAGAGCCTGCCAAAAGTCTCTCTCTAATTCTCTCCCCCTGATAAAAGCAAGAAGGGAAGCTGCACATGGTTGTCCTTGTTCGACCTTTAATAGTCTTTAACTTTCAGGGCCGGCAGGTGGCGTGGTGATTAAGGCCCTGAACTCCTACATGGCAACTGTGATTCCAATCCTGGACCTGGCGTCTTGCTTTCTCACTTTCCCTTTGTCTCGCTCTCTCTGTCTCTGGTCAAATTTTAAAAGTAAATAATAGTAACAAGTAAATTAAATAAATAAAAAGAATCCTTAACTTTCCTATAGATCTTTGCCAAGATTTTCAGTAGCCATTGAAGAGCCAGGACCAGGGGTAATTTTTGGATTCCCTCTCTGTTGCAGGCATGTCTTAATGACATCCTCAGAGCACAGACACACGGGTACCCAGAAAGACTGCGGCCCAAGGTGATGCTGCGCAAGGCGGAGTGCCTGGTGACTCTGGGGAGGCTGCCGGAAGCGAGCCAGGCCATCGAAGATATCGAACGTCATTTTGCCACCACACCAGCCCCAGCAGCTCCCCCCTTTCAAATTCTGCAGGAAAACCTCCATCGTCTAAAGATGAAGGTACAAGAGAAGAAGATTCTCACAAAAACCTCCCCAGCAGCTCTAGCCAAAGCCTCTAATGGTCACGACCTGAGGGAAGAGAATGAACAGATTTCCAGCGCGTCACCCTCTGTCGGCTTACGCACACACCCTTTAAAAGGCCGCCATCTAATTGCCACAAAAGATATCCTCCCAGGGGAGCTCCTGGTGAAGGAGGACGCTTTCGTGAGTGTCCTTAACCCAGGAGACATGCCACCACTACGTCACAGCCTGGAGAACAAGTGGGATACCAGAGTTACCAATGGGGACCTCTACTGTCACCGATGTCTCAAGCACACTTTGGCCACCGTCCCCTGCGATGGATGCAGCTACGCCAAGTACTGCAGCCATGCGTGTACGCAGCAGGCCTGGGAGCTCTACCACAGCACCGAGTGCTCCCTGGGCGGTCTGCTCCTTGCCCTGGGTGTCTTTTGCCACGTTGCTCTGAGGGCGACTCTTATAGCCAGATTCGAGGATGGTGGCAGAGTCCTAAGGAAGCTCTGTGATGAGGGTAGTGACAAGGACATCTGTTTACCTGAAAACAAGAATCTGGTCAAGACACTTAGTTATTGTCTAGGGGAGGATGAGGAAAATAGCAAATCGGTCGAGACTCTAATTCCTGGATGTGATATTGATGGGAAATATCAAAACAATTATAATACTGTCTTGAGCCTCTTGCCTCATACTGAAAACCATAGCCCAGAGCACAAATTCTTGTGTGCTCTGAGTGCTTCTGCCCTGTGCAGGCAGCTGGAGGCAGCCGGCTTACAGGCCCTCACAGCGGGTGGGAAACCCTCCCCGCGGGAGGCAGCAGAGGCTCCTGAGCTGTGTCTAGATGTGAATGTCTGGGGAGTGGCCGTGCTGCGACACATGCTGCAGCTGCAGTGCAACGCCCAGGCCATAACGACCCTGCAGCAGACAGGTAAGGAGACTCGCTCTTGTCTTCCAGTGCTGTTCTCCAAACAGCTGATGTTTGAGGAGTAAGAGCCATGAGGGAAAACAAGTCAGTGACGGAACAGGAAAACGCAGCTGCTTCGTAGTACCTTTTTTGTGCCATCGAGAAGCTTTTTGACCTTAACAAATGATTTCATTCCACTCTGCCTCAGTTTTCTCATCTGTAGAAATAGGTAGTTTCATTCCTACCAAACTTTGCAGAGTTGTGTTTGTTTTGAAAAATTCTCTTAATGGGGACCAGCAGTTGGCGTAATGGCTATGTCGCTGGACTCCCATGTAGTCGACCATGGTTTGAATCCTGGACCCGGTGGCTTAAACTCACACCAGGCATATGTGCGTGCATGCCCAAGATCCCTAGAGGAGGATGGAGGAGGAGGAATTGCGGCGTGGCCGTCCCCCCTGGGGGGTGAATTCTCGCTTTCTTGTCTCTGTCTTTCTGGCAAGCTCACGTGCCCTATACCAAAAACCTCTCAAAAAAAAAAAAATTATCTTAATGGAAGACCAGCAGGTGGCATGGTGGCTAAGGCGCTGGATGCTCCCACATGGGCAACCACATTTCGAGTCCTGGACCTGGTGGCTTGCCTTCTCACTTTCTCTCTCTCTCTCTCTGGGTCTCACTATCTCTCTCTGGTCAAACTAAAATAAATGAGTGAACAAGTAAAATTAAATAAATAATTCTTAGGGAAAAAAATATTCTCTTAATGGGGCCAGCAGGTGTCATGGTGGTTAAGGGCGCCAGACTCCCAATGGCTGATTGCAGTTCAAGTTTCGGATTTGGCGGCTTGCTTTCTCATTTTCCCTCTCTTTCTCTCTCACTCTGCCCCTCTCTGGTCAAATTAAAATTAAATAAATGAATAAATAAAATTCTCTTAAAATTAAAAATTCATATTACTAAGGCTTTTTGATCATGAGGGAAAACTATCTCAAATAAATAGTAATAGCAAATTGATTACAAAGATATGTGCACAGGAACCCAGAGAAGGCCGTCATGTTTTTTCTTAGGAAAGACAGAAACAGTCTAACCAGACTGCAGAAAGAATAGGCTCTGGGACCAGCAAATGGCATTATGATCCCATTGCTGGACTCCCGTGTAGTCAACTGGCGACTTAAAACTCACACTGGGCACGCGTACATGTGTGCCCAAACTCCCGAGAAGAGAATGGAAAAGGGATTGCAACATGGCCATTCCCCCTGGGGGGCTGATTTCTCACTTCCTGTCTCTTTCTGTCTGTCTCTCTGGCAAGCACATGTGCCCTATAACAAACCCCTCCCAAAAAAAAAAAAAAAAAAGAACAGGCTCTGTGGTTGAAGAACATATCAGATTCTTAACTCACTCAGCTACTTAGCCATTCTCTCTCTTCTCTTTCCAATTGACAACTTCTTCCCATTCTTTTTTTTCCCCCATGATAGTATATGCACATACATGAGAGAGAGAGAAACATCATGTAATGGCATCTAGTCATGCCATAATCCCCTTCCTCCAGTTTTCCAGCTCTTCAGGATCCTGGGTACCTATGCACGTCTCAAGTTAACTGGGCTGGGGTCCAAACTGTGGTAGGCCATGTGGCTTCCAGCATTGACGTTCAGCATACTACTGACTGCACCACCTGGCTGGGCATTTTCCCATTTTCCTGTTCTAAACTTCTAAGAGAATAATTCATCCCAGCACAGCTTTCTACACCATCTGACGCTGTAAGTTGTTGCCAGCCTGTGAATGGCCTGTCCTTTGGTCAGAAATCCTACTTCCAAGGAACTGCCTCTAGACACAGACCAGCCAGCCTAGCTTTGCTTTCCTGAACTGGAGGCTGTAGATAAGGCTGTTTAAGCTAGCTGGGGAGGCCGAATGTGTCCAGAATAACAAGTGGCACCTCCAGTATGACTGTACTACCCACAGGTACAACTATTATTAGAAAAGAAATGATGTTGTCCGCATTTCCATTGTTTGATTGCCATTTTGGCAGAAAATGTCTTTTGATTCAGTTAGTGCATAATTTTTATGGTTAACTTTATTGAAAGAGAAGAAACCAGGTGTGGCTAAACCTAGGATTTATACATAGATTAACATTAAATGTGGTTCACATCTCAGACCCGGTGGCTTGCTGTCTCACATTCCCTCTCTCTCTGTCTCTCTCTGGTTAAGTTAGAAAATAATAATAATAATAATAATAAATCAAGATAAATAAAATAATTATTTTAAAAATTTTTAAAAATAAATGTGATTTAGCTAACCCATATATACTTAGCTCTTTTGATCTTTTCATATTAGGTAATCTAGAACTTGTCAGCCTTTTTTGTGCGTGTATCTTTATGTTTAATTTTAGTTCAGCTGCCAAGTTATATGATGTATGGATATCTCAATAGAGGTGTTTGGGGGCAAGACTCTGTTTTCAAAGCTAAAGCACATGGAAGAAACAAAAATAGCATGCTCCCATGACACAAAAACAGTTATTTTAACTTGGTCTCTGTTTTCTTCTCTGCCTTCTTTGGCTTCTTTAAGCTGCTGCTACCTTCTAAAATATATCTGAGTGTTTTTCCAGGACTATGTTTTCCCTTGAGTATAGTCACTTGCATTTTCTTTTCTTTTTTTTTTTTTTTAAAGGCTTTTGGCATAGGGCACTTGAGCTTGCAGGAGAGAGAGAGTGAGAAGAAAAGTGAGGAATCACCCCAGGGTGGATGATCATGCCACAGCCCCTTCTACTTCATCTCCTCCTCAGATTTGGGGCATGCATGCACTTGCACCCAGTGTGATTTTTCAAGCCAAGTCCAAGACTCAAACTATGGTCAGCCATGTGAGAGTCCCCAGTGCCTAAATGACCACGCCACCTGCTAGCCTCTTCACTTGCATTTTTTTTTTTTTGGAGAGGTTTTCGCTATAGGGCACGTGCGCTCGCCAGACAGACAGAGACAGACATAGAGACAGAAAGCGAGAAACCACCCCCCAGGGGGGATGGTCACGCCGCAGTCCCTTCTCCTCCATTCTCCTCTTGGGATCCTGGGCACGCACGCACACGCGCCCGGCGTGAGATTTAAGCCACCGGGTCCGAGATGCGAACCGCGGTCGACTACGTGGGAGTCCAGTGACATAGCCATTACGCTAACTGCTGGTTCCCTTCACTTGCATTTTTTAAAATATTCACTTTTGGAGACTAGTAGGTGGTATGGTGGTGAAGTGCCGGACACTCCCACATGCCCGACCATGGTTCAAGTCTCAGACCTGGTGGCTTACTTTCTCACTTTCTCGCTCTCTCTCTATGCATATCTCTCTCTGGTCAAATTCAAATAAATGAATGAATAAATAAAATTAAATAAATATTTTAAGAAATAATAGGTTATCGTTTTAAAAATTCACCTTTTTTTTTTTAAGGTTTTTGCTATAGGGTGCGTGCACTCACTAGAAAGACAGAGAGAGACAGAGGGACAGAAAGCAAGAAATCACCTCCCCTGGGGGATGGCCACGACACAATCCCTTCTCCTCCATTCTCCATTCAGGATCTTGGGCACGCACGCACACGTGCCTGGCGTGAGTCCCCCCGGGTCGGAGACTCAGACCACAGCCGACCACATGGGAGTCCAGCGACATAGCCATTACATTAACTGCTGGTCCCATCACTTTTTTTTTTTTAATTAAAAAAATAAAATATGGAGGGACCAGCAGGTGGTGTGGTGGTTAAGGGCACTGGACTCCCACATGGCCAACCATGCTTCTAGTCCCAGACCTAGCAGCTTGCTTTCTCTCTCTCTCTTACTCTCACTCTGTCCTTCTGTGGTCACATTAAAATAAGTAAATGAATAAATAAAGTCAAATAAAATTTATTTTTAAAAATAATTAATTTATAAATAAATAAATAAATAAATAAAATGTGGGACTTTCAGATTAAATGGCAGAAAGTTGCTGACTAGATTCTATGATGTGTCTTGTCTTTGAAGTACTTAATGGAGGGCCAGGTGATGTGGTGGTTACAGTGTTAGATCCCACATGGCCGGCTGCGCAGGGTAGGTCCCAGACCTGGTAGCTTGAAACACATGCCAGGCATGTGTGTGTGTGCATTCCCAGAATCCAGAGAGGAGAATAGGGAGGAGGGGGCATTATGATGTGGCCATTCCCCTGTGGGGGAGTGAGTTCTCATTTCCTCTTTCTCTAGTGAGTGCACTTGTCATCTAGCAAAAAGTAAAAAAAGATAGTAATATTAGGACACACAGGGGCCAGCAGGTGGAGTAGTGGTTAAGGTGCTAGACTATCACATGGTTGACCATGTTCAAGTCCTGGACCCAGCAACTTGAAACTCACTCCAGGCGTGTGTACTTTGTGTCCAAAATCCTGAGAGAAGAAGGAATTGTGGTGTGGTCTTCCTATGAGGGGGGCGATTTCTTGCTTTCTGTCTCTCTGGCAAGCACATGCTCCCGATAGCAAAAAAAAAAATCTCTAAAAAATATATTATAAAGTAGTAGGACACACAAAAACAATACAGTGTCGTAGCTATGCAGCCTACTGTCCAGGTAAACGAAAGCCGTGACCACTAACTCGGGCTGAATCTCTGAGGCAGAATGGCAGAACCATGTCAGCAAAAGAAGTTGGGATTTTCCATCTACGTTCCTTCATTGGCAAAGATCTTGGCCTAAATGTTCTTGTTCCATGTGCATAAAGTTTCAGTATGGTCTGGGTCCAACAGGTTGTGTAATGGTTATGTCGCTGGACTCCCACATGGCTGACGCGGTTTGAATCCCCGACCTGGCAGCTTGAAACTCACACTGGGCGTGTGTGTCTGCATGCCCAAAATCCTGAGAAAAGAATGGAGAAGGGATTGCAGCATGGCCATCCCCGCTAGGGGATGATTTTTGTTTTCTATCTCTGTCTTTCTCTATGCCTCTGGTGAACACATGCGCCCTATAGCAAAAAATCTCTCTTTAAAAAAAAAATTCCGCCGGGCGCGTATGCGTGCGTGCGTGCCCAAGATCCCGAGAGGAGAA